CCCATGCCATATCCGCAGCCACCGCCCATGCCCATGATGGGAACCGTCATACCCTTGGTCCCTCCCCAGATCTCTCCCCATCAGCAGCGTCATCATCAGCAGCACCATCATCACCATCACCTCCAACATCCCCACCTCCTCAACCAGCCCACCACCTACCAGCTCTGGGTCCCTCAAGAGCGCGTTGGCGCCGTTATTGGCGGACAGGGGACTGTTATTCGTAGCCTGCAAGAGCGTTCCGGTGCCACTATCCAGGTTCACAATGACACTGTTCGTGGAGATCGCAAACTCTTTACAATTTTTGGTACCCTGGCCCAGTACGACATTGCAAAGCAGCTTATCAGTGACATTGTTGAAAAACCGCGACAATCTCATGGCAGCAGCCACGCGGGCCCGCATTCAACGTCTGACCGATCTCCGTATTCACAATCGGGTGATCACGGGCCTAGGTCGGGTGACGTGTGGAAAACTGTCTATGTTCCCACAAGCTGTGTCGGCCTAGTAATTGGCCGAAACGGAGAGACCATACGAAATTTGCAGGATCGATCCGGTGCTGATATCAAAGTCACACCAGACGAAGAAGCCCAACCTGGAGCAGACACCCGTTCTATATTGTTATCGGGGACAGACGAAGCGATTTCCACAGCACATCAACTCGTCTCCGAAATCGTTATGGACGCTAAATCACGCCGGCCGCCCCACAGTGGACCTCAAGTGGGGTTCGCTCTCAACGGGCAGTCACTAGTTTTCGAGGTTTTGTCCATCCCGAATGAAAAGGTTGGGCTCATCATAGGTAAGAAGGGGGCGACCATTCGCGATTTGCAGATGAGATCGGGCGCCAAAATTCAAGTCACGAAAGACGAGAGCTCTGTCCAAAGCGATGGTACTCGTCCTGTAACCCTCACAGGGATGCGCGCAAACGTCGACGAAGCTAAGGCAATGATTGCGAGCAAAATCAATATGCCCATGTCACAGTCCTCAACAGCAAACCCAGTGTACAACAACAGCCCGCCGCAACCCGGTCCTAGCTCGACGTCCCCTGGCGGTCCAAGTCAACCCGGTCCCGGGTACATGGTACCAAACTTGTACGAACCTGCTTTCCAGAATGGTCAACAACCATTTCAGCAAGGTTACGATGCGAATGATGCCAATGCACAAAGTAGAGCGATGGCGTACTTTCAATACGTCGGATACAACAATTACATGGCACAGCAGCGGCAGTTTCAATCGCATATGCCAATGCATTTTCCCATTCCTCAACAACAGCAGCTGGAACAACAGGCACCATCGGCTAACTCCTCACAAGACCAACAAGAGGCCTCGGGGCAACCCTCGCAGTACTCACCTACCCCATTACAACAGGGACAGCAACTTGAAAGTATTCAAGGTTCCCCTGGTATTGCTCAGCGAGATGCTAGTGGCAACATCGTGATGTACCCAGCACAGCAGTATCAACAATTGTCACCACATATGGCTGGGCATCAAATGTACTCGACTGGTCCACCAAACCGCATGTTTTCCCGACGTGAGCAAGTTCAAGCGGCACAAGTGCGCGCCCAGATGGTGATGCATGCCCAAGCACATGCTCATGCACAAGCGCAGGCTCAAGCTCACGCACAGGCACAAGCTGAAGCTCAGGGAGAGTCTGAAGCACGGCTCCAAACACATGAACCTTTAGTACCAACTCCTGAAGATGACGGATAGTCCCGTCGATGGCCTGACCAGGTACCGACCTGGAGAAGCCGCTTTCGTGCGGTCAGTTGTACTTGGTCCTTGTGTACATACGAAGCGATTCCAATTGTGCAGTAAAGTCGGCGCCACGGCTTGTAATCCACATCCGTTGTACCTACCCTTGTCGTGGATTGGTCAGTACAAACTAGGCGATGTAATAAAGGCGAAACGCAAACAGGTACCTTAACTGGCGCCACAAAAACAGAAATTCTGATAGCTTTGTGCAATAGCATTTGACATTTCCGGCACTATCAAGCAGTAGGCCTGGTCCAAAATGTCGCCGGTAGGTGCTGCGAGCTTCCAGTCCTTCATCTTTTCATTTTTGTGAGTGCGGGATGTAGGCAGCTTGAAATCTTGCGCCCCTTGTTGAGGAGAGAGGGGCTTGCCATTGAAGAGATGATTAGATGTGAAAGGATTGTGTGAGTGTTGGACCTTTCCTAAACGACTCGGAATGTTCACTTCTAGCGACACGGGATAGAACCCGCTTCCACTCTCTACCCGAAAGCTTACCGTGCATCAAATTCTCGTTTCCGAAACAATGTGATTCGTAGTTGCCCGCTCACCGCCGGCGTTCGAAGCCTGTGACATATTGCCCTTGCGTCTTGAGCCGATTGTTGACGTGGCAGCCATGATCCGAGTGATCAACTACACGTACTCATATTCAAAACTTTCTATTTATTTTCACCACTATTTTGCTCCATTTCACACACTGTTCAAGGCATTCCATCTGTTTTTTTGCTCTCTTGTGTCTGTAGCGAACGTGAGAGAAGTCAACTCTCAGGTATCAGATCGATCCGTGTCGAAGTTAACGCCCCGATTTTCACGATCACATCCTTTCCGGCTGTCTTCGAAATGCTTTCTAGAGGAGCGGCATCACTTAACGCAGGGCAGCGCGTCTCTACGCGGTCTCTGGCTACAAGCTTTGCCGAGCTGTACCGCAATAGCGTTGGAAATGCTCTGCTCGATGGGGACGTAGTAAAAGGCCATATCGTCGGCCATCGTCGGCCGAGGTCGTCTTCATCTCGCTTTCACATTGTCGACTTTGGCTTGAAAGCCGAGGCCCCATTCACGGCAAGGGAACTCCCAGGATCATCTGCTATAGGAGATGACGTCGCTATGTCACTGCTGGCGCTTGAAGATGACTTTAACGAACCAGTCTTCGATTATGAAGGGCGTACGGAATTGCCGTCTCTCCAGGCAGAGAGACTCTCGCTGTTGACGAGAGTGGCTAGCAATGATATCCGCTTGGTGCACGGACGGTTTGTCAGCTTCAAAAAGGGAGGAGCCAGTGTCAAGGTACTGGGGACAGATGCCTTTGTACCGAGGCATCATATCCTGGCAATTAACAGCCCCATATTGGGTTCATATGCACCGTTTTTAGTCATGAGTGTTTCTACGAACAAAAGGGTTGCCCGCAAGGGAGCACTTGGGCTGGATATCAACCCGGTTGTGTCCAGTTATGGCGGCTTTCTCCTCTGTGTGGCTAATCTCGTGGGAATTGATGATGCGTGGAAGCAAAGTGGCGGAGGTTCTGCGAAGGAGAGACTGGCTTATCTGAGACTTTTGACAAAATTATTGTCGTTGAAAAACTCGGCCGTACGCAAGCTTCTTCCCCGCAGCGGCGACAGTGGCAATCATCAAAGGCCTCACAGGCGTTGGAATAGTTCTCGCCATAAGGAAAGTGGTCACGGAGACGCAGCTTGGTTGAATGACGTTTCGCAGGGTGATTGGGCGTCCAGCAAGACATATACGCACCACACCTCGAAACCCGATGACACCCCAAGAGTTTGGGATCGGTTAAGGAGACCAGTTACTCTGAAAAAATCGCATCGCACCCAAATAAACAATCCGTTTGGGGGTGATAGACAGTCAAAAGGGTTAGAACGCAACAGCCGGGACCCTAAACCGGCAGACGATGTCTAACGACCTGCCATTGGAGTCTCTCAGTTCGTAAGTTGGGTCGCGAAGGATCCTGGGATTTTTGTACACCGTTACAGATAGGCCTGATCAGGATTATCAATCATGGCCATGCCCTTAATTCCGTCCGGGTCCGCAACGAATTCCAAACTCTCAAAGAAAGACATGTCAAGGTCTGAAGAAAACAATGCTATGCTACAGCCGGGTACGGTTCTTCTCAATTCCCGCAGCAAGTACTTGACGACATTTCGCTTCATTAACAACTGTCCCTCAATCAGTCACAGAAGCGTGCAAACACCGCACAAACACAGCAACATAATCAGTATTTCGCTCACGGCCATAAACGCTTTCGCAAGCAGCTGCGCCAAGGAATTTTCAAATTCGCAGGTACGCACCTCGTCTGGAAGTGATGGGTCTGTCACTACGTCCCAGATCGTCCCATTCAATGCCCTATCTGAAGTGGCCCTCGCAAAACCCACGAGACGACTGTCCGAAATTAATCGCGCGCTTACAACAGCGTAACTGCCTTGAAGTGCCTTGTCCCATTTGTTCAAATCCCGGCTCTACCAAACCAAGAACGTGTAAAGAGATTCAGTGAAGGTGACTGTTAGGGTTGGTTTGTGATTGCCTTTAGAGGCTGTTCACGTCGCAAGGGCTCGCCTTTTGTTTGATGAATTGAATGGCTGTCAACTACTTACTCGTTTACCCGCCTTCACCATGAGCGAGTTCACCTCTTCAGCCGTTATCTCACTCTTGTCTGCAGAAATAATAGACCGTTGACTCTTGTATTTTGTGATGTTGACCCCACTTTCCTTTCCAGACGTACTTGTAGCCTCCTCTGCTGCTGCTCGAAAGGTACAGCGGTTTCTTGAGCGGCTGCGAACGCTCGGTAGGATGCCGATATGACAGCTGAAGGCCGCCGAAAAGCGTGAATTCACACCCTGCTGCGTTCGGAATGGCATGTTGCAGTTGAACTTTTTTCTGAGGGGAAGCGGCGTTTCCCAGGTAGGCGGCGGTTTGACTGGGCGGTGAGCGCGAAGATGGTGATGTAAAGCCAGTGGTTGTAGTAGCTGTTCTTGTCCTTGGCTGCTTCAGAATCGTCCCAAGGACAGTCTCAGAGTTGCTCAAACGAGCACGTGCAACCTGTCGATGTGGAGTTAGGCTGGACGAGAGTTGCCCAGGTGCAGTACAGCAGTGCAAGACCTGTGGCTTGGAATGCCGCAGTTTCAGCTTCTCAGGGGCTCAGATCTAAGAAGCGCAGAACAGCTTTCCGTAATATTTTTTCATAAAACACGAATATGAAATCCAAACGGTGGTCACGGGGGCCCATGCTTTTACTGGAAGCCGTGCAACACATGTTACTGGATTTCACCCGACTGCTACATGCTCCAGAAGAATTAAAAGACGTTTTTGTTGGTTGTTGATCACACGATGAGCTCTTCCCAAAACTCGAAACGACACCAGGTTGAGCAAGCCATCAGACGATCGCCTATCACACTGTATCTAATTACTGGCACAATTCTTTTACTATACGTTGCATATCAGCTGCGAGAGCACTGTGCGAGTGTGAATAAGTCTTGCTAGCTAGAGCTTCTGAGTCCTGTGTGTCCCATTTTCGTTCTGGCAAAACTGCAAGTCCAAGAAAATACTTTCGAATTGCTGAGAATATCTGGTCTTGGGCCTTTTAGTCTTTTCATTAATAAAAAAACGCTCCCCCATTTCGTCTAAAGCACTTTATGAAATGCTCTTTCCTAACCCAAACGTGTGGGAAACATATGGCGAGGATATCTGAGAGTGAACATTGAACCTCTTTCATTTTCATTGTTAACAAAATGCAAACCTCGCAGTTGTGTAAAACTTTCCACATGCAAGCTTTGCACCTTCACGACCATGCAATGGCGAAACTCCTGGACAGACCAGAGAATCGCTTTTACCAGAAAATTAACACAGATTGGCAAGACTCCTTCCACGGGCAGGAAGGCAATCTCCTCGCCAGTCTGATACTGTACTGAACACTGCTGAGATAAAAAGTGGTATCCGACATACGTACAAAAGATGTGCCGCAAAATCGAAGCAATATTCGTACAGAGTTCCAGCGGTATACGCCAGTGTGAATGAAGTCGAGTGAACTGCCTGCCCAAAAACGATTCTAATGCATAATATGTCGTTTGGTAGAGCTTGAGGCCCACAATTGAACAAAGTCCGCCTTCAAGGCAGCATCATGTATCTTTATTGGCCAACTTTTTCTGCGGCCACTTGCTATAGCGAATGATTTTGCAGAAACATTTCATGTTGAAAAAAATCATCATCTTTCGTCCCCAGGTCTTTTGCTCTTCTTGCTTCTTCTTTCAGCTATTGCGACACCGTACTTTTCGCTTACCACAAGGCTTTCGATACTGTTGGGCAGGCCTTTGATCAGTGGCCCGCAAGTGTGCAAGTCAATTTGGTTGTCCACGAGTAGGAAGCTACACAGGCTTCCCTTCACAAGCGCTCATTACACAAAGGGTTTGTTGTTTGCCTGGGAAGCGGCAGGCGGGAACCACCCGCGTCAACAGTATTGAGATGAAGGGACGGACAAATTGGATGGCATCACCGGCTTTTATTCCATCAGGTTCGATATGGAGAATAAGTAAGCCGTTTGCCTTGCCCTTTAGCGAAGCTCGAGAGGCATCGGGGAGTGTACAAACAATCAGGTCCGGACGCGCACGAGCACAAGCAAAGCTTTCTAGGGGGGCAGACCCCGAGCATGTTCCTCTACAGGTTGCCACGGAATCAAAAACAGATTCCACAATACGACCACGGACCGAAAATTACTTTTCCATTCCTTACGACGAACTGGTCATCCGCAACTGGCAGCCGAGAGATCGACAGGCTTGCATAGAACTGATAGGTGCTGTTTTGGCTGAGTATGGCCTTGAGTGGGATCCCACCACAGCAGACAAAGATGTGGTCGAAGTGGAGAAGGCATACCACTACGGCGAGTTTTGGGTCATCGAAGATGTGCAGTCCTCACAGATTGTGGGTACCGGCGCATTTTATGAGGTTCCTCAAAGAGGGGTCGGAGCAATCGAAATACGAAAGATGTATCTTAGTCCCAAGGTTCGTGGTAGGGGACTGGGGTCTTTTCTACTTGCAGCCCTAGAGGAGCGTGCGCGACAACGTGAATATTCAATGGCATACATAGAGACGGCATCTGTCTTGGGGGAAGCGTGTGCTTTGTATAAAGCAAGGTCATATGTGCCTTCGGACGGATTAGAAACGGAACGATGCGATCTTGTTTTGGAGAAAGAGCTTCTCCCTTTGCCCCCATCCTCGGCTTCCCAGCCTGTCGAAGCTGTCGACTCGACAAGGGGTTGGACGGTGTCAAGTTGCTCACGAAAACAAGCGATGGATCATGGAATTCTCTATCGAGCCGTGGTGGTGCTCGTAGAGAGTCATGGTCGTATTTTTGTTCACAAGCGATCGTTGCAAAAGTCGACATTCCCCGGCCGTATATCTATTTTCATTACTGGCTGTATAGATTGGATGGAGAGTCCCTGGCAAGCGGCCAAGAGAGAAGTCCTCGAGGAGATTGGTCTTTCCTCATTGGATTTCTCAGAGCCTTTCAATGCTTTCACTGCGAATGGCAAAGATGGTTTGGGCCAGAGAATACTGTTTCACCCTTTTATTGCAAGAGGAGAGTTTGAAGAGGAGGACACCATCTGTAATCCCGCGGAGGTGGAATTCGGGAAGTTTATGTCGCGCGACGAAATCGTGAAAGACAGAATTGGCGGGTCACTGTGGGATGAATTCCGATCTCATGGGTTTTAGCGGTGGTTGTCTCTCGGTAGGTACCCCTGCAAGTCCTATTTTTGCTAAAGTAATATGACGTTGAGAGACAGCATAGATAGATGGTGCTCAAAGAAAAGTCAAGGCTGCTGCTTGATAATCTTCGGCCATCCTCTTTTGCGTACTCTGTTTAGAGGTATGCGCCACGTCGGTGCTGTAAAAACAACTATTGCTCCCTTTAATCTTGTGTGAAGGTATTAAGAATATGTCACCATTAGATATGAGTTCTCATGCATCAGTACGTCTTCCCACTTACTTCAGAAAAGACTATAGACGCATGGGCATCGCACCTGGTGATCAGCTCCCCATCAAAAATCCAGATCACTGGACCACGCTTAGCTCAGCAATCTTTGACTCCAGTGCAGCAATTTGATTCTTGGCGTCCGCAGTCTCTTTTTGCGCAAAGCTGCTGATCTTTTCCTGCTCGGTCCGGGCTTTCATCATTTCTTCCACTTGTGCAGATGTCAGATACATATAACTGCCCGGGACAATTTCGATACGACTGCGAGGGGCTGCATTCTCGTTGATGGGAGGTGTAGCTGCAACGACAAATTGGGAAGTCTCTTGGCCAAGATCAAGGTCAGGGCGGCCTGGGATAGCCTTCTTAATAGATACAAATGACGACTGGCCGTTCATGGCAACATTAGAAACAAGCTTTGCGGGTACACCTGCCCCGTCTAGTGACAAAACATGGTTGGGGTTCTCGATACCCATCGTCTTTGCCCGACCACTCAAGCTTTTGTCTGTCGTTCCTTGCGATGAGTACAAGGTGCACATGCGGTTGAAGTGCTCTGCGGTTTTATAAGTGCCCATGAACCTCATGTAAGGTACGAGGTCATCGCCAAACGCCTCATCGTACTCCAAGGAATCGATATAGGAGTTGATTTCGGCCTCCCAGCCTTCGTTTGCCATGCGTTGCACGTGCTCAGAAATTTCTTGCTGCGAGACGGGCCCGCGCCCAAGCAGATGCTTGAAGTTGAGTTCAACCGCTCGGTATGGACCGCAGCACTCGAAGAAGCGGCGGCGATAGGTGGACGAAAGGGCAACGCCACGAACGAACTCTTTGAGGCTGATTTGGTTAGCTCGGTACATGGATTCAGCGATGTAGGCTTCTGCGCGCTCGGATTCCATGACGTAGGCGTTACCGAAAACCTGCTTCCATACTCTGTAACACATTACGTCGCGGTCTTCCACGCAGGCGACACCAGGGTTCGGAGTATACACGAGAGTTTGGAGGGTAATGCCGTAGTCGCCAGTCATTCGAATGGTAGCCGCGCCAGAGGAGGAATTCACAGGGGTTGGAGCAGAGCGGAGTGTGGTCCCGCAGACCTTGGTAAGGCCATGTTGGGAGAGGGTGTGGCGAGAGGTGGCGCTCAAGCCGAGGTTCTGGACGAAGGCGTACATGTTGGATGTGACAGGGTGGTAAGAGAAACGTAAGGTGGACGTGACTTCTTTCAGGTGTGAGGCGTGAGGCTCAAGTCTGTTTATACCTCGGGACCAGTGTGTAAAAAGCGAACGAAGCAAATTAGTGCGTTTCGGGAGCGATAGTTCGGAGGTTTGATGGAGATCGTTGGATTTGCATGTAGGGTTCTTTTATATAGGTTTCAACTAATTGGCGATGGACAAGTGGTTTCAAAATTCGGCCGGATAGTTAGGATATGCCCCTATGATACCCTGTGATAAAGTGATAAAGAAAAGAGATATCATGCGCACTATTTAATTATGTTGAAGGCTAATTTTTGTGACTTTTTCATTATTTTTGGTGATGATTTTTTTAACAGTGCATCAACAAGACCTGAGCACGGGGAATAGAAGCTGAACGCCTTTTCTGGAGCAGCGCTGGGAACTAATAAGTGTGCGCATTGTCCGCACACAAAATACACGTGTCTCCCAAATGGTCTGTGCTGCCGAGGCCCCGGGCTGCGAAGTGTGCACCTCTTCTTAACTTGGATGCGAACACGGCGGCAGTTCGGGACAATTTGGGTAATCGACCAACGGCACCGCAAAGAAAGACATACAAGACGACAAAGGAAACGAAATCAATTCACCATTAAAGCTAGCAAATCTGTGTTATCTTTGCGCTTGTGCGCTTAGACTAATCACATCCGGTGTCGGTCGACATTTTTCAGAATGGGTGAACGAAAGGTGCAAGCAAAGTATTATCCACCGGATTTTGATCCGTCACGTCTCCCTCGCATCAAGAAGAAGCGCCAGAACGACGATGCCGTGCGCTTCATGCTTCCTATGTCGGTACGCTGCGAAACGTGCGGGGACTTCATGGGCACCGGTCTCAAGTTCAATGCCCGCAAGTCAGACACGGAGGAGACATATCTCGGTATTCGTATCTTCCGCTTTTCGATGAAGTGCAAGGGTTGTCCGGCTACTTTTATCATCAAGACAGACCCGAAGAATGGCGATTACATTTGCGAGTCTGGCGTAAGACGCAATTATGAGCCATGGCGGGCTGCCAAGGACGCGGAGGAAGAGGGGAAGGAGGAGAGGAAACGGCAAGATGATGATGCCATTCAAGCGCTTGAGAACAAGACTAGGGATGCAAAAGAGGAAATGGAGGAGCTTGATGCCCTTGATGAGCTGAAGTCTCTAAATGCGAAGCGAGCGAGAGTCAATGTGGAAGACGTGCTTTCGCGGGGGCGGGATGCCGAAAAGCGGCGTGTCGATGCAGAAGAGCTGGAGATCCTCAGAGAGGCTAAGATTGCCTTTGAACAGAGGCGAAATTTGGTTGGAAAGTTTGACGCATCAGAAAGGCATCTTCCCACACCTAGAAGCGAAGGAAATCCCAAGCGTATGGGAAATGATCCCAATCAGAGCACACCAAAGAGGCGGGCGTTCGGTTTGAAAATCGTCAAAACTATCAAGAAAGCCAACTCATTGGCTTCTGCTGTGGTCAAGAGCGACTCTGCGAAGACGACCGCATCATCTGACCAAGACCTGGTTGGATATGATTCAAGTAGTAGTGATGGTGAATAACGCAACGTCTGAATTTAATGCTGTACGACACTCGAAGCGCGGCCCAATACCTACATATTAACTAAATTTTCACCGATGAGTCAGATCACAGCCGTCGCCACCATCCCAACGAACAATTCATGCAGTTGTGGACGAACCAAATGGAAACACTATCATGCAATAACAACAAGAGACGAAAGCAAAATGCATCATATTTAGTCTAATGGTTGACGAAAACGAATTCCCTCTTGTACTTCCCTGCTTTTTCTTCTCGGAACTAAGTAGGTAACTGGCGAGAACAAAGTCTCTTTATCAGTTTGATCAACAAGATTGTGAGAGCAATGTACGCCACGGGACGTTCACTACATTGACAGGTACTACACAGAATGAACGAAGCTAGCGCTTGCGAATAAAACTGGCGATCTACTGCTCCTCGCCTTCCTCTCCCTCAACTTCCTCTTCGGCGTACTCCTCACCTCCCTCGGCGTACTCGACGTCATCCGCAGTTGCTTCTTGGTACTGAGTGTACTCGGAGATCAAATCTTGCAGATTTGCTTCAGCCTCAGAGAACTCCATCTCATCCATACCCTCACCAGTGTACCAATGCAAGAAAGCCTTGCGCCTGAACATAGATGAAAACTGGCCGCCGACGCGCTCGAACAGATCCTGAATGGTCGTAGAGTTACCGATAAAGGTGGCGGCAACCTTCATGCCAGGAGGAGCCACGTCGCAAACGCTGGTCTTGGCATTGTTGGGGATCCACTCAACAAACTGGCTTGAGTTCTTATCCTGAATCTTCCTCATCTCGTCCTCAACCTCCTTGGTGGAAACTGTGCCCCGGAAGTAGGCGGCAGCTGTGAGATAGCGACCATTGCGCGGATCACAATCAGCCATCATGTTGTGTGGCTCGAAGAGCTGAGTAGTAAGCTCTGGGACACTCATGGACTTGTACTTCTCACTTCCGTTGCCGGAAAGCGGTGCATATCCCACAACGAAGAAATGGAGACGTGGAAACGGAACCAAGTTGACAGCAAGCTTGCGAAGATCGGCGTTCAGCTGACCCGGGAATCTGAGTGAGCAAGTAATACCGGACATAACACGAGACACCAGATGGTTGAGCTCGGGGTAGGAAGGATTAGGCGACTTGAGGGTCTTAGTGCAAATGTTGTACAAGGCCTCGTTGTCAATGGAGAAGACGGCATCGGCGTTCTCGATGAGCTGGTGGATGGACAGTGTGCAGTTGTACGGTTCGACAACGGTGTCTGAGACCTTTGGCGAGGGCATGACTGAATATGTGCAAAGCATACGATCGGGATATTCTTCACGAATCTTTGACACAAGCAGAGTCCCCATACCCGATCCGGTTCCACCACCGAGAGAGTGGGAAACCTGGAAGCCCTGAAGCACGTCACAACTCTCGGCCTCCTTTCTCACGACATCAAGCACAGTGTCGATAAGCTCTGCTCCCTCTGTGTAATGACCCTTTGCCCAATTGTTTCCTGCGCCTGATTGTCCAAAGACGAAGTTGTCGGGGTGGAAGATGCCTCCAAGACGGGAGGCCTTGATGTGGTCAAGCACAGCGGGCTCTAAATCGAGCATAACAGCGCGAGGGACGAAACGACCCTCGGAGCCTTCGGAGTAGTACACGCCGAGGCGCTCGCGTTGGAAGTCGGATTCACCAGCATAACTGCCGCTGCTATCGATGCCGTGCTCTTCGGAGATGGTCTGCCAGAAGGCGGCGCCCATTTGGTTGCCGCATTGTCCCGCCTGCAAGCTGACGATACCGCGAGACATGTTGTGGAGAAAACGCCCTGATACGAGTTGAACTTGTAGGGGAGAGCAAGGATGAGGAAAGGAAAAGGTGGTTTAGAATGTGAAGTGAAGATTGAACGAGGCGGGACTAGAGGGGGTATGCAGAGATGAATGTGAGAGCAGGGAAGAGGGGTAATTATTCCAAAAGAGGGGACGGGTGCTAGGCGGGTGAGCCATAGGAGTCAGTGCAATGACGAGAAGGCGCCAAAACCGGTCTTAAAGCGGGCCATGGAAGGGCGGTTGAAATTTTTCAAACAAGAAGTTTTGAAATCAAATGTGCAAATTTGGACGCTACGGATCTCTTCCAAACCCCGAATAACTTTGCCCGCGCTTTTTGCGTTTGCTTTCCCAGCCGATGGCCCCTTTCGGACCATCACGTGTACCCTGAAAGGTTGTGTATATCCAATGGGCGAGTGAACCGTGTTTATATCGTCCCCGTTTGGGGCCCTGTTGCCACTGGGCCGGGGCTCCACGAGCGCGTTAATGGGATGCAGGGGCCCCGGTCATGCGCTGAATTGCATAAGCCAGTGGAAATCATTTCCCGCGTAAAACAAGGAAGCGAAGCATAGGTGATTTCCGTCGCGCTTGACGTGTCATTGACCAAGCGCAATGAAGAGCTCAGTTGCGGTGCAGTGACTGCACCGCAACTGAGCTTTTAGAGCTCGAGCTCTGCCGCTGCAACCTCAAATTGGCATCTCTTTTTGTTGATGAACATTTTCCAACAAAAGAAGACTTCCGTTTCTCCTCGGGCTCAGGCGTTTTGCAAGATGTAATGTCTTCTAAAGCCTGGTAAATTCGTACTGTCTCCATGCGCACCTCCTAATCAGCAAGGGTCTCTATATCTTATGGACTGCACTGAAACATAGTTTTTCCTTCTGAGGGTACATACTGTATCCGGTAGCATGTCGTAAAAATCTATGATTCCAGTTACAGCTCGAGGTCATATATTTTGGCAGCTTCTACGTAACGCAACAATCGAAAACATACAAGGATACGAGGTGGCGATGAGGATTTATATGTTCACGTGCAGAAGCGTCCTGCTCTGAATCTATTATTTATTTAAACGTTAAAGAGGACAATTCAACGTTTGCGTTGTTCTTGTACTAGACAGAAGCCCTAGCCTGGGACGCAACCAGCAATTCGATGATCTAGTTCCCGTTTGGACCTATGGTTGTAACTGACAGGCTTGTTCAAGGCAAGGGACTCACTCAGGGTAAGAACACCGGAAACAGACTACGACAGAACTGCTTGCAGGCGTGCAAAATGCCAACTGGAGTTGTCTTTGTCTCATAGTCGCCACGCTAGGCAGCGTAATCGCATGGGATATTCCCCAACTGCCAACGACTCTGCAGGGATTAGAATCTCTAAGGTGGGTGCGTTAGTTTCCAAAAGTGTACAGCACAGCGCACTTGCCGTACGCGGCTCTTTCTAAGCAGCGCGAGACGGAAGTGGGAGCAACGTAGACCCTACGCATTCTAACATTGTCGTACGCCGTGAGGCAAATGACACAAGGCGGTGCGCGGCGCGATGACAGATGTTGGCACCGTTGTACCGTACAGTATGCCCCGACGGCGAAACAAGAAGAGCAAGGCATCTTGCTATGGAGACGTCAATGCTACGGTACATGAGCGGGCTCGGAAAAAGGTGGTCTCCCACTAGTGAGTGGCGCATCGTCGACCGTTTCAAAATATTCACCCCAAGGCTCCTGGCGACCTAGAAAATATCTCGGCATTGGACAAAACCAGAAATCGATACAAGAAAGTATCGCCAGCATCGCCCTCGGCCTTACATGAACATAAAAGCGGGTGGAGAGTATTCCAAAAGTATCAGGGGCGGACATCACCCGAAACGGCAGGCCCTGGCGTGACATGTGGTCCTAAGGGGCCGGGGCGTTTTTTCTCCCGAGGGTGTGTAAAGGGACGGGTGTATGAGAGGTGTCACGTTTGCATGTCCAATGATTTGGAGCCAGCGAGTGAACGAATCCGCCTTTACAGTTTTCAGAAATGCCCTACCGCTCTTTCTCCGTGACCCTGACAAATCACCTCCAGGTGTCGGTAATATCACTTTCACAGACCTGATCGTGTCCACAATGCCAAATTTCGACACTTTCTTCTGTCCCCTCTTCAATGTTTGTTGCATCTTGCTTCGTACCTGCCAACTCACACACAAGAAGAATTGTTTTATTCATTAACGTCCAGTTCCTCGTACAGAGTACAGTATTAAACAGTACAGCACATTGAAGCAGGCACGAGCACTGGACTGCTTTGATAGTGTCAGTGCTAACACGTATACATGTAGCAGTTGGGCCAGCCGACGGCGCAGAATAGTATAAAAAGGAGTAGATCGGCGTAAACAAGAGACCAGAGGTTTACCGCTCTCACAGGTTATGGGCCGATCGCAATCGCGAGAATTTCACACCACTGCAAACCCCAACAACACAACTTTAATCTGCTCCAGTACACCGTTACTGTCGTAGCCCGCTCCGGCGATAGCCGTTGAAGCCCAACTGAAGACACCATTTCCCAAGCAGACATTCGCCTACGGCGCCGACACTATAGAGCAACTGCTACAATTTGGGGACCCCTCCGGCAAGCCGCAAAACTTGCAGCCATGGCAGATCCCTCCGACACCACTCCAGCCACAGAAACAAACATTCCCCTACCGCAACAAACAAACAACACGATGGCAGCTCAATCATTCCCTCGATGGAAATTCACCGAGCAGCTTCCATATCTCACCGAAGAGAACTTCCTCCAGTGGAAGGCGAATCTGGAAGATATACTCATCGAACACGAACTGGAAATTCTCATCATGAGTAATCACCAACCGTCGCCAACTACTTCTGAACAAGATTCTCCCTTTCTCCAAAAAAGTTTCCGCAAGTTGCAGAAGACTCATCACAGCCAGTATCCCAACCGAAATTAACCGCCTTCTGTCGGTGCAGATCTAAACTGAAACACCCGCGAAGATTGTAGAGGCTCTACAACAACTCCTGCAGAGAACTTCCGTGCTGGACCACCAAATACTTGAGCGTGAAGTAAGACAGCTCACCTTAACCACAGATATGACAGTGAAGGAGTACATTAATCAGCACAAGGAAATTTGCGCTAAAATGATCTCCGCCCACTACCCGAACATCAACAACGAATCAACAACGGTACGCATCATTGTAGAAGATCTTTGGGAACACCCTATTTTTGCCGTGCACATCTCAACATTCAAAGCAGCCGGACTCCCCAACACGATAACCGAACTTCATAACAGGCTGTCCGACCTCGACGAGGATCAAAGGGGTAGACTCAATATGTCCTCGCAGCCAATGTGCTCCTTCCATCAGAGCGACACAAACCAGACGCATAACCGATTCGACCAAACCAGAAAATTGAACAACAGACGGTATGATCCCCGCCATCAACCCCCTAATCGGCGTCGGACAAGTTGCAGATGGGATCAGCCTTACAAAACACAGTACAACAACCAAACCCGCCAGCTTATGCAAATCGTGGAAGCTGCCAAATTGTTAAATCAATCTACCAATCCGCAGCAAGATCGAGCCCGAAGCTCCAAACGCCAGACTCCACACCGCACAAAGCATGATTCCCAGGCAAATGTTGCCATCATCGACACCGAATCAGGTGCTGAAGACTACATGGCAACCTTAGACCAAATACCATTCCCCAAAACAGCAGACAAAGGGGACGCAGATGCCAACAGTAAGTTCATCCTCGACTGCGGCACCAATCCCTCGCACATCAACTTCCCCACCGCTGACTCCAAAACACTGCAATCACTCATGCAAACACACACCGCTTCCTCCCCGATCACATCCAACCTCGATGGCTCCCTCAAGGTGAAGACCAGCACTAAACAGACATTCCGACTACCCGTAATCATCAACAACGCACTGTCCGCCTCCTTCCTCTCAGTACACGCCATCGCCAAGCGATTTGGACACGTCCTGTTCTCGGAAAAGACAGCCACAATTCTAGACACAAAAAATGGAAAACACACACCACTAGTCGGAACAGCCACATTTCGCAACTGTCTATACACCCTAGACAAACCAGCATCCCGCATCACAGACAAAAACATTAACCATCCGCAACCAACAGCTTATGCCATCCTGTGGTATAACTACCTTCGTCCCGACCACTCGGAACGAGGGGGGGTTAGAGGTAAGGGAGCGCGCGCCGCTGGGTAACCCACGCGAGCGCAAACCGTACGGAAGGACTCGAAAAGAGGGAAGGCTCACGTGGCCGGTGACGCGCAGCCGGTCGGTGGTGTTAGATCCGGACGGCCGGTCACGCGTTAGAAGCCTGAGACTTAGAGGTAAAACCGGACGGAGTTAGCAAAAAGCCGTAAAGGGAAGGGAGGCGAGTCTGCCCCCGTTTACTGGAACGGGGCAGGTGCCCCCGGTCTTAACCCCTAAGTGGGACGCCAGGACACCTGTCCCGCTACAGTAGCTGTTACATACTGTATACCAGCTACTGTACTAAATTGGCTAATTCGTGCCATTAACCACTAATTGCTAATTACTTACCGGATGGGTCGCACACGGGTGCCCGTGGCCAGGACCAGCGCCAACGGTTGTGCCACGTGTACGCCGTGGAGGTACGACTGTGCTCGCAGAGGGCGCGTGCACGATTACTACAGTAGTAACCGCCCGTCTCGACGGTTCTCATCTCCTCCCACCGGGGGTCGCGGTGTGGAATTGTACCACACATCCGAACGATGGCAACCTCTCCACCACCCCCCTCAAACAATCGTCCTTCTAAACCACACAGCAAACTACGCTCGCAAAAGTCCTACACAATCAACGCAGCGCCCTGTGCCACATCTCCACGCACACCCCACCCCTCGCCACGCCTGGATGAAATCTCCCCAACCAACCCAACCAGCAATCCCCACACCAATCATAAGCTGTTAGCATTCCATGCCTACCACCTCATATTCAATCACATTCACCCACGAGCACTCCAAAAGATGGCACAAGCAGAGGTCCTTCCCCTCCCAAAAATTCTCAAATCCTACCCTCCCCCATTGACCAGCTCGGGCTGCGCCCACGGCAAGGCCCGACCGAAGCCACACAAACCCACAGAACACCGATATGCGGTTGCCTTCTCAGTGTCCTCTGATATCTGCGGACCAATCACCCCTACATCCCTACATGGAAACGCCTACTTCATGTCGTTCATAGACACACACAGCAGGTATACTATACCATACTTTCTACCCAACCGCAAAGGAATCCTGAAACGCATAATGCTCACGATCGAAAGCATATCGCGAACCCACGGCAAACCGTTTGCACTGTTCACGACAGACAATGCAAAAGAATACATTTCAAAAGCCGCAAAATCCCTTCTCGAGCAACACGGCATAACCTTCAACCCCATATCTCCGTACAATCCGCAACAGAACAGCATCGCAGAACGACTCAACCTAACACTCATCCAAGCAACGCGCGCCAGCCTGCACTATGCAAAACTGCAACCGAGCCACTGGGAAGACGCTCTGCGTGACGCGGCCTTCAACTATAACATCACCGCGAACCGGGCCGCGCAAAAACTGCCATTCACACCATTCACACTCTTCCACGGCGTTGCTCCGACTATTACGCAGCCCTTTGCCTTTGGGCAAGTTGGATCCGTTGCCTACACCAACCTCCACCCAAAGCCCAAAGGGCACAAACTAAATGGAAGATCATACCCAGAACGTTACATGTATGCCACGGACCCAACCCACATCGTAGTCCTAAACCTCAAGAACAACGCCTACACGAAAACAAGGGCCATCGACTTTGTTCCGTATCACCCTCTTCAAGACCCCTCTGCGACACACGCACAGGCCTTCAAAGCCATTGCGCGACACCCGACCCCATCATCCGTGAAGTCAACCACACCTACCCCGGGGTCACCAGCGCAGGCCCGCAAATACCCCGACGCCGTCGAATGGGCCACTGCCCATAACAACGAATTAGACCAGCTTGATAAAACTGGCGTCATCAAATGGCTCCCCGATCACGACATCCCCAAGAGTACAAAACTCATTCCCCTCACAATGACATACCGCTACAAAAGAGACCCGGATGGGACAATAACCACATGGAAAGCCAGATGCTCCGTCCGGGGTGACAAAATGTCACCACACGTACACTTCAACCGCCTAGAAACATCGTCGCACAATGCCGACAAAACTACTGTCTGATTAACATTCGCAATCTTGGCGGCACTCAACACGCCAATCGAACAATTTGACATCCAATGCGCCTACACGCATGGACCATACCGCTTCAATAGACCAGTATTTATTAAGCAATTCCCACGCTTCAACGGAGCGTGCAAACACCCTGGTCGCGGCGGAAAGCTCATGAGAAATCTATACGGCAGCCCATCCGGAGGGTTCTACTACCTCGAGTGACTCACGAAGTTTCTCACCAAGAACGGATTAACCCAATCCGAGCAAGATCCCTGTCTATTTTTCCAACGACACAAGCAAGGAATCACTATCGTCACACTAACCACCGACGATTTCCTCGTCACAGCGTCAAGCCAACAATTTATCGACAGCTTGTACCACACCCTCAACAAAAAATACAACGTCAAGCGGCTAGGCGAACCCAAGCTTTACATATATGTAAAGCTTGGGTTCGCCTAGCCGCTTGACGTTGTATTTTTTGTTGAGGGTGTGGTACAAGCTGTCGATAAATTGTTGGCTTGACGCTGTGGACGAGGAAATCGTCGGTGGTTAGTGTGACGATAG